TATGCTGCCACATAACTCTTCAATCTCATGTACATGTGCTGCGTTGCCGCATTCACCACTCCATCCGGCTATGTACGCCATCTCACGCCCGCATTTGCCTCTTTATTGTGGCATGAAATTAATGAAGTGCTTTTAAGATTAGACGCGCTTATTTATTGGCTGAAGTTATGCTGCCATTTCATTTGTCGTTGCATGCAGTTCGCCCCCCGCCTGCTCTTGCTTATTTACCGCTTTGCGTCTCGCTTATTTTCTCACTTAAATAGCTGTTTTACAATTGTTGCTGCCACTGCTGCTTAGCTGCTCCGATTGCCATTGTGCTTTTTGTGGCAATAACGGTAGTTTATGGAATTAGCTGTCGCTGTTTTACCTGCAGCATCAGCGCCGCCACTAAATGCGAGAGGCGCTGCAATAAAACAACACAAACAAGCACAGCAAATAGTGTACCGTACTAAAAGCGCGGCTAACGTTGGCTGGGTTGGTAACTGTTAGTTAATAAATTTCGTGCCAGTGGATTAAATCGTGACGCGAATCGACTCAGCATCGCAACTGTATTGCAATCTCTCAATTGCTACCGAATGAAAGCTACCAGCACAAATTCAATTACTACTAAATACTAGTTGATATATACAGTTTTTCGGAGTGGTAGCGGCATGCTCTCATAAGTAAAGCGTATTTAAAGAGTTTACGGCTATAAATGCCTTCACTATTCCCTTCATAAGCCCTTAATCATTCACTTTGCACTATTTCTAATTAATTTATGTTTTTTTTTGAAACCCAAAGGGTTTTATTGTGCAATCATCTTTCAATCAGTATGAGGATGCCTGATGGACTAATAGAGAATGCTGTTTCAAGTTTAAAATCCCGTTAGATCAAGGGGATTTTTATGGAATGTTAGCGGAAATGTCAACGCAACTGGTACCCAGTTTGTTTGTTAAATATAAAAATGTTTTCTATATATTATAATTTTATATATTTATATATATATTTATATATAAAACATACTCTTCGAAGAATAGTTATCAAAAATAATGCTTCATTGGTGAACCTCTCCCTAAAAAGTATGTATGGAAAAATATTTTTCCTGATATCGAATTATCTTAAAGCCTAATTTCTACCAATTACAAGTTTTAGGCTGCTTTGTAAATTATTCATTAAGAATATATAATATTAATACTTGCTGCCCTCAGCGCAGCGTTTTCTCACCACAAGAACCATTTCATTCACTTCAGTTTCTATGGTAAAAAAGGCTACGCTGATGGTTCTGTTCACGTTTAATGCTTACGATGTCAATATCATCTGCGTATTCCATAGCTTTGTACTTTTAGAGTAGACAGTGCCCCTTTGGTTCGGATTAGCGGCGCGTTTTACTTTTTCCAACATTATATTGAAGGTGGCACATAAGCGCTAAAGCCTTGTCTGGTATCAAACGCATCCGAAAGGTACTTCCCGATTTAGACGGAGCTGATGGTTGTACTCAAACACATTCTCCATAACCGTATGAGTTTCGCAGGAATACCAAGTTTAGACATGGCGTCGAATTGGTAGCTCCGGTCAGTGCTGTCGAAAGCGGTTTTGAAATCGATAAAAATATGATAGGCGTCGATCTGTTTGTAGTACAAAAATTCCATAAAATCGTATGTGTTTAGATCTGTTGCCAAAGAAACCCACATATCGACTCTGAAAAGCATTTTCATATGACTGGCTGAATTAAAATTTGATACTCAGCTATGTTTCGGTTCTATATTCAGCAAAACTGTGCTACTAACTATTCTGAAGAATTAGTGCTGGGATATCAAAGCCTTTACTTACGGAATGAAAGCGTTTTCTAATTGTAATAACTGAAGCTCACGACTTAATTTTCTCTATATTTCTAAGGAGTTCCAAGCAGTTCTCTAAGGCCATGAAATAATAATTAAAGAACAGGTCTATTCACAAACCATACGAAAGCCAGACAGTCACAAAACGTAACCTCTCGAACTACTACCTGGGAGTAGTATTTTGATTTAGTTCAAGAAAGTTTCGCAATCAGAATTAGTCCGTTTAATTCCTAGTAACTGTCAACCCGAAAATAAGTGAATTGAAGCAGCTTTTTTTTTGTATTTCTTGACTTAACAGATAAATCGTGAACTTCGTATACACTTTGTTTTCATATTACGTTATAGCTTAGTGGCACCCCAAGCTAATTATTATTTAGTGCACGAACCACAAGCGGAAGCTACCGAAGATTTACGAACACTTTCAGTAGCTTCCGCTGATAACTTTCAAAGCACAATAATAGAGCATATTTTTCTGTGCGCATTTAACACCTACAGTTTATATATTTTATTTATGAGGTCTGCGCACAGCTGCAGCATAACTAACTGCCTAATGTCATTGAAGCACAGTTAAGTGCCATGAAAACAACAAAAAAATAAAAATAAAGGTTCTTCGCGTCTAAGTACGGTAGAAGGCTGCCAATATGCGGCTGACGCTAGTCAATAACTTTACGCTCGCAAGTATTCGATCGTTCTTAGAATGCATACACACGCTAACCGATGAATTACAAATACTTCCGTTAGCCGGAAGCATAAAACAAGTCGCCAGCGGAAGTCATGCAATATTTTTATGATTAAACTTAAAACGTCAGGCTATTATATTAAAGCGGCTGCGGCGTATGCAAGACGTGCAGCGGCGTCAAAGCGTCAAGGACACGCACAGGCAATGAAAGTAAATTGACGGTTGCGTTGTGTGTGTTGTCTGATGTTGTTATTACCTATATGCTTGATGGCTATAAGCATCACTCAGTTGATTATTGCCTTCAGCACGTTTGGGCGTGTGGTTGACGTTTTACGGTCGGCCATTATAATTTTGCGACGCTGCTTTTGATAGCTTTTGCGTTTTTTGTTGTGTCGCATACATATTTTTGATGATATTTAGAACTACGTACACGTAGCTCACTCACTCTCACTACTGCCATTGCTTTCTCTATCTCTTTCTCTCCAACTCTCAATTAAATTACATACTTATATTTCACGCATACTAAAAACTCCAGCTCACGCTTGCTTTTATATTCAACACTAAATTGTTGGCAATCAAATAAAATTAACTAAACGCCAAAATAGCTTCCCAAGTGTTGGGCGTTTTGCTTTTAGGTGTTTATGAGCACTACGAAATAAATGCGCTTGTATGTGTGCCTGTAGCAATAATATACACTAGATGAAATTTGCGCACGCACACCATTGCAGTTGTGTTTATGTGTGTGCCGTTAATAAATTAGCGCACTTGCACTTTGATAGCAAACGTGCTGATTATTAGCACGTCACAAATATCGCCTATGAAAATCTTTTTGATTGAGTTGTCCTAACGCGTAGTGGCACATAAAAGTAATGCGTGTACTTGCAACGTTATATCGGTAAATTTGAGAATATGATATATAAGAATTAGTGAGACAAGTTGTAGTGTTCTAATAGTATTTTGATTATGTAAGAGTATAAATATGTATGTAAACATAAAGTGGAAAGGAAGTGTGGTGTTCTTTGCGAAAAAATTGTCCGAGAGTTTGTTGATATTCGCTAGTTTATGCTCTGAATCACTACCAAAATTTCATACTTACTCCAAATTACACCGAAAATCAATCAAGTTTTTCCGAAATACTAATTATAGCTGAAACTCACTTATATTTGTAAATAAAAATTTAGCACACCAAACGAAAGTTCACTTATGATCGCTATTTCATACTCATAATTACTCCGAATTTTTTTTATTAACTCCGAAAGACTTCTAACCATAAGCGGAATGCGCCGTTGTTTGCTATATACCATTACGAGTTAGTCTGAATGCGTATATACTTTTTCGTAAATACTTCGAAAATATCTATATATTTCGAAAAATTCTTATTAACTCCAAAAAACGTCTAACCTTAAATGAATTGCGCCATTATATGATATGTTCTATAACGAGTTAATCTGAATGCACATATACTTTTTCGGAAATACTCCGAAAATACCTATACATATTCCGAAAAAAATTTGTTTTAAGTTATACGCTCTTTTCTTTTATTATTTCATAGTCCGAATACTTAATTTTAATTTTTAAATTCAAATTTTAATTTGAAAATTCACGCTATTTTTTGAACACACTTCGTCTACTAGTATTCAATTTCTTCTAAATTTTGTATCATTAATGCTTTTTTTTATAATTTTTGACTTAATATATGTGGCTTTAAATTGGATTGCCCCTGAAAATGAGCAGAGAAACTCAAAAATAATTAAAGTGCAGAAAATATATATATATTTATATAATATATATATTTATAGTAAAATTGATAATTATATATGTATGTATATATAAATAAATAAGTTTGTAAGCCCGCGTTTTAATTATTCATTGAGTTTTTCTGAAATTGTATGCATAAACATACACATTTATGCACTGATAATACTGATAAATACCTGAAAGAGTGAATGTCTGAGCTTAAGTTGATCTGTCTAGAATTCTAACTTATCGCAAATGCTGTTTATATATATACAATATATATATATATTATATGTATATATAGTATCATACGAGTATGTATGAACAGGGTGTGCCATTTTTTCTAGAAATCGCTCTATAAATTGATGACTTTTTGATTTCCTCTCCTAAAATATCGTATATTTTAGATAGAGTAGAGTCAAAATGAATCAAGTGCTCGTCTTTAGTACAGAATTTATAATGTGCTCTTTGTAGAGCATTTGCCGGCAATTTTTAGCTTATAAAAGTTGCCAATGAATGCTTTATCGACAGCAGCACTGCTCACAAAAAAGTGCAACGTTTCAAATATGGAAATCTAACAAATCAGCATCGCTTATTTTGACAAACACGATTTTCTTATATGTAGAAGGTATTTTTAGCTTTTATAACAAACAAAAATTTGTATCACCCTTTATAAACATTTATAAATTTATTAATACACTGATTGCAGTTTTCCTCTAATTGCTGTTATCGCTTTATGTATTTTATTTTTACTGTTGCAAAATCAAGTTTGTATAAAATAATTGCGTTGCTGTAGCGCAGTGTATTACGGAGCACTAAGCGAAACAGCCAGTGACGCAGCGCAATAAGATCTTTAAAGTTAAAATGGTGAATTTCATACACATTTGTTTAATGTTGCTAAGCACTTGTGGTATCGTCGCGAGTAGTTATCACTCTTGTAATGGTGGTAAGTGCAACCTTTTCTTTTTGATACTTATACCATTTTACAGTATCGTTCACAAATAAAATATTTTCAGAAACGGCGGTAAATTATCATCCCTTCATCAAGCTTGGTAGCAAGTATTATTTTATAAATAGTAATTGGAAGGCAAGTGTGGTGTTAAGAGAAATTATTATTGTTTTATATTATAAGTAAGTCTCTAAATAGATGAACTGGTTCAAATCTTCTGAGTACTGTCGCTCTATTGGAGGCGATTTGGCGAATATTGTATCACTTGAAGAACATCTGGCACTGGAAGAGTATATCTTAGCTAGAAAAATAAGAACGCAACTTTGGTTTGACGGCAACGATTTGGCAGAGGAAGGACGCTATATGTCACACTCCACTGGTCAACCCATAGTTTTCACCAAATGGTTACAAAATAATCCCGACAATTCAGGTAATGAAGATTGCCTTGAAGTTTGTATACACGACAAAACACTTCTGATGAATGATCATCACTGTGAAAATACTTTTTACGCAATTTGTCAGTATCGCGCACCCAACAAGCGTTGCAGTGAGAACAACTCATTAATGCATCAAGAAGAACACTGTATACTTGAGAAATTAGTTGATGTTTCGACGCAAGCAGTCGATATATTTAAATCACACTCGCAACCCACTCTGAGCCCAACAGTATAGTGAATGAAGAGGACGCATCAGTATATAATCCCGTGAAACAACTCCTGAACAGAACACCAGATTTACTAGTATACCGTATACAAGATACAATGTGAATCGATTACCGTAATATTTATCGTAATAAAATCCACAAAAAAATATAATATGGCTTTACTGAAAATTTAGCAGTTAAAGAAGTTCGATTTTTTCACATCGGCGCAATCAAATTGTTTAAGCATTGCTCCTTAATTGTGACATATATAAATTGCATAGATTTTACTCAAAAGTAATACATATTAAGTTTAAATTTTATATCAATATTCCGAATTATTGTGGAAAGCGTTCACTTTGCACTGATTGCATTGTTTTACTATTTTAGCATGCAAAATATATGCACCACATTTCGGTGTATCAAAACCGAGTATTCGAATTTACTCCGAATTTCTCCGGAAGCATAAAATGTATTTAAAATAACATGTTTTTGTTCACTCCTTTTTTTTTCTACGCTTCGGTAACAAAAATGAATATTCGGGGTTACTCCGAATTACTTCGAAACACAAAATTTAGTTTTAATTGGCTTTGTAAAACATTTTCGAAATTTTTATTTATTTTTCTTTGCTTGCGTATCAAACGCGAATATTCGGAGTTACTCCGAATCACTCCGAATTACTCCGAAAGTATAAATTTTTTTTCGTAATTGCACTTATGCATAGTTTTGGAGTAGCTTATTTTTTATTCCAGTTTGAATTCCGTGGAACTAATTACAGTTTGCAGTTTTTTGCAAACATACATACTTTTCACATTAAAGGCCATTAAAGCAAATCATCATAAGTAAATTTTAAAAAATTATATTAATAGCATTGTTTAACACTGCATACTTTTGATCGCAGTGGCATGTAAAATCAGCTTTCCATGCGTTTTTGCATTAAACAAATACCTGGAAATGCAAAAACGTAGCAAAATTTTATAAAACATACTTTTTACTACCATACCAAGAGCTTAAGAATACTTAGCAACAACACATTAAAAAATAAGCACATTAAATAGAAAGCATTTATATACGATTGTACGGGTATTAAAGTATACTTTTGGTTGCACAGATACATGGAAAAAATATGCTGCACAAATAAATAAATATATTTTATAAGCACTCGATGCAGTGGTTGGTAGAAATATTTTATATTGCTTACCATTTTCATCATCATATTTTGCAAACAATAACAACAAACAACTTAGATGTGGCACAAATCGAATGAAATCCGCTTACAACTTGCCTGCACACATACTTATTGTGTGGCATGCAGTTCGCTTGTGTATATGTAGCGGTATATAATGCTTGTGTGATAGTGTGCGTGCATACACATTTGCATGGTATGCGCTTAAGAGCACTTTGCGCTGTGTTGCATGCATGCGTGTAAAACGATTGCATAATTACAGGCGCTTAAGTGTATTTAAGAACTATTAGAGTGTTGCTGCGGTGCTGCTGGCTAGCTGACTGGTACGTGTATTGGCATTGCTATTCAATATTTTGTATATTTGTAAAGTTTTATATTGTACTTAGTTGCAGCAGTGTTGGGATTTTTATTAAATACTAACTTGCATACATAAAACATAGAGTGGTTTGCAGCAAATGCTTTAGATGCTTATGTAATGCTTTTTTTTTTGTTTTTTTTTTTATCTAGAGTTGTTTTTGTTAGCCAAAATGTGTTGATTAATGGAAAAATTTATTTTTTTTAATTTACAAAGCACAAATAGTGGTTGCTAATGAAATACATATGAAAAGCCTGAAGAACTAACAATGGAGAAAAGAGTTCCAACAAAAAAAAAAGTAATAATATTTATTAAAATATTTCCGTAAACTCCGTTTTGTGTTGCAATAACATTACTACTTTTATCATAGCGCCATCAAAATGATTTTCTCAAACACTTGCAACAAGACAGCAGTTGAACCCTGTGCAGCACAACGCGACACAATAACGTCCTCTAAGCGCATTAAATGACTGTTGCTTTCTCACACAACTTCTGAATATAGCAAACGGACACAATGGCATGCTTTACATACACGCACACACATACATACAACATATAAGCAGGTTTTGCTTGCTGCTTATTGTACATGCGCTTAGATATACTCGCTACTCGTATTATGCATGTGGCAGGAGTAATTGCACGAATTTGTATTCCTGTCACGTTATGCATGCACGAATCTAACCCATCCATTCGCCACGTTTTGCCTGTTTTCTCTGCATTTGCTACACGCTGTATACGGTGCGAAAATCTATGTGCGCACATGTATATGCGAATGTGTGTGTTAGTTCTTAACTTCCACACATATTCTTTTGCCTTACACTGCGTATCAGTCATAAATCTGCATGCTAGCTGCGTACTAGGAACACTTTCTCTCTACCGCTTCTTTACCCTCTTACTGGCCTCTTTTGCTTTGTGCTGTTGCTTTCTGCACAATTTCTTTTAAGTTTTCCCACACATGTTCGTAAGTATTTTTTATTATCAACGCTTCTTTTCTTTCATATTTGTATTAATGTGTTTGTGTGCGTTCATGCAACATTAGCGCTACTAATATTTTTGCACTTATTTCTACGCTTTCTACGATATTATATTTCATCATATGCATATCATCGATATTTTTATATTCTTATGTGAGACTCAGCATTGAAATAATAACACCATGTATTAGTGTGTGCTATCTGCTTGTGATAATGCGATTTTGATTTTCATGCTACACATTACATGTAATACCTTAAGTAATAATAAACCTGAGCAGAGAATATACTTTGATTAAAAAAAACGTATATATACTAATTGTTGGCCACGTATTCATTTTCTATGTACCTAACTCCAGTAATATCTTAAGCAGTTACATGGATTTCAAGGCGCAAACAACCGCCTATTTGCAATAATTTTTTTTTTTTATTAAAAAAATTAAATTTTTTATATTCAAACTTTTTTATTATTCCAAAGATACATATTTCACAAAGATTTTGTGAATCTTTCAAGGGAAAATATTCAAAATTCAGCCATTATGACGTCATTTCCGGCAGTCTCTCGGTCGAAAGGTGTCTCTGCGTTGCCAGCAGAACTTCTTAAAGGATCATCATTGTATTAAAATATATCTCGAAGGCCTGCGTAAAATTTCGTTAAGATCGGTTAAGTAGTTGGCCAGAAATCTTGTCAACCAACTTTGAGAACCAAAAGTGTCGAGAAAAACGCGTTTAAAGTTTTAAGTGCCTATATAGCTGACCTCGAGTGCGCAACCTTGCCAGGCTGCATCGCCAATACTATTACTGTTAGCAACTTGCGAATTGCAGTTTCCTTTTACTATTCGCAAACCTTGAAAATTATAAATACTATATATTACTTATAATAGAATATCATCATACAAAGGATTTTTTATGAGAAAAAAAATTTATCAAAACGAGGAATTGTAACATGCTATCTCTCTCTCTCTCTCTCTCTCTCGCCCAATCTCTAATTTTTTTTTTTTTTTTTTGTATTCTTGCTTTCTCTTTTCTAGTTCGTTATATAATTTATTTCCTAGCTTCTCTACCAATTTTAGTGCAGCACACAAAAAAAAGATTTCGCAATCCAATCTTCTAACTCGCTCCGGAATATACATATTCCCGCGGCTCTGCTCTCATTGAATCTCTTAAATATATAAATATTAAAGATTAAACTAAATACATAATATGTACACGTTTACTATACCGCGACTATTCGCTTGGTGTATTTTTCTGTTGTACGTTTTATGCATTTTTGTTTTCTAACATTTTTAAATTTTTCGACAAACAATCATATCTGCCAAACTTATTGTTTTCAAAATTCAAAATTTTGAAATTATTTTTACAAACAGATATTGTCCTCCAAAATCATTTTTTTAACTATCCGTAAAAAGGTTTTATATTTTTTAATAATAAATATCCTTTATCCTTACTAATACCATTAGGAATATGTCTACAAAGTTTCATGATTATCGGTTAAGTAGTTTTTGCGTGAAAGCGTAACAAACAAACGGACTTTCGCATTTGTAATGGATGTTAGCTATTCATAGATTGAACTTCATACAAATAACTAATAATTCGTTGTACGTCCTGTTGGCACAATGTGAGCAAATCTTTATTCATATATGTAGTGGCTAAATTCACAATAAATGTTGCCCTCATAATACTCAAAGCTCTCCATTTTACAAAAAGTTTCTAATACTTGTTGCTTCAATGGTTAAGAAACAAATGTAAAGCAAATAGTGTATCTCACACTGTTCTCTTTTCTGTACAAAGATGTTCGTAATTTCGAGTAGTTGCTATACAACGAATTTGTATATCTCGTCTATATTTTTAAAGGAGGCTTAAAGTCAACTTAGAATGTACTGCAAGCGCTCATGTAGCATAGGAGTAATTTCTGATGATTGATTATTCTTTAATTTAAAATCCGATTTTAATTGTCCCTAAGGCTTTTCTCAAACTTGAGTTAATTATCCAGTTCCTATTCTCAGCTTATCGTTGCCAAAATACACAAAGTTTTTAAGAAATAACCCAACAGAAAGCGCATCTTGATTTAGAATGCTCCAAGTACGCTCTCTCTCTTTCTCTCACTAAATCTCTCTCTCTCCCGTTAATTCCCTCTTTTCCTTTATATATTAATCACTCCTTTATTATATCTCTTTCTATTTTGATCATACCAACTACCGCTCTCTTTGTTTCTCTCTCTCTCTTTGGTGCTTAACCAACGCTTCTTTATTTATCTGTCTACCTTTCCCTCTCGCTCTCTTTGTTTCTTTTTACCAAGTTCTCCCTCTCTCCATGTTATCCGCTTTTCACGGAAAAAAAAAGTTGTACAACTTTCGACTTTTTAAAGAATGGAGTATGAGGAAATATATTATAAGCGTTGTATGGAACTGAAAGGAGTAAATAGATGCTGTTTGCATGTTAAAAAAATTTCTACTAAGTTACCATTTCTACAGTGCACCGTCTAGTGAATTAGATTCGTATGTATAATAAAGCTAGATATGACTTCAGTTGCTATAACAATGGTGAGAAAATAGGCTGCTAAGCTTTTGCGCAACTTTTCGTTCGATAAGTCGACAAAAAGCTTACATATTTTATTGAAAAATTATATCTACATAGTTTTTATGAACTTTCGCATGGAACAC